TGAGCGGCGGGAAAGTGACTAAAGCCGCAGAAAAGGCTCAGAAGAAGAAATAACTATAACTCAAGACTTATTATAATTAGATTTTCAAAACTTTTTCTGTCAAAAGCATTACATCAGCTTTTGTTAGCCTTTGATTATTAATTTGTTTAATTTACAATAATAAAACTTGTTTTTTTCGTTTTTGCTAACTATAAACTAAAAAAAGTTGTTAATTTTGGATAGCTTTTCGATTACTAAACACAGAAGAGACTACAGAAGAGAGTAATTACGATTTTAATATTAATTATCTTTTTTTTCTATTAAACGAAATTTTGAATTGAAATTTGAGTTTTTATTTTCATTTATTCCGATTATTTGATCATTTATTTTTATTAATGTACCTATTAGTACAGTACCTGCAGTTATACCGCATTTAAGTTTAATTAAATTCAATTAAAAATTAGCCAGTCTATTTGAAATACAGAGGTATACATTATACTGTACCTTATAATACTGTAACTTTAACATGTAAATAGTGTTAACATTGATGAGCTAATTTGATAACCCCCGATCCCTACCCAACCCTTATTACATGTGCACATTTCATGGGGTATATACTGTACGTATTGCGGGGGAGTATTAGTGGAACGGAGGGCTAACCCCCAAAGGAGCGTTCATATAGTCAGTGATAAGTGAGTGTATGTATGGGTCTGTCTGTGGGCCCTATAATAGCGTTGAGAATGCAATGCATTGGCAAACAAAACACTCGACACTGCACTCAATGTAATGCAATACCAATGCTATGCGATAGCAGTCGTATAGCATTGACTCAAATGGGAAGACATTTTCCAATACAACATACAGACTCACGCTATGAATGCCATAATGTGTTACTATTTGGCGTTCAGTTCGTTCACCTCATTATAGACACACTATTTGTCACTAAAAAACACAACACTATCGACGAGTGGACTGTGTTTGCGATCAACTGATTGCCATTCGCGTGGATCAGTGGTGTGGACACCCGACAGGACAGGCCCACCACTGGCACCACCACTGCATGCCATCACACGCCACACCATTTGCCACCAAATGTGAGCTAACGTTCCCATTATAATGACTACTCATCTCATTGTCCAAAACACTAGTAAACCATTTGTATGACTCGTTTCGCTGCGAAATCCTCACTTCCTTTCACTCCTGAGTTGTCTTTTAGACATGAGTTTAACGATTATTATATGCATTGAGCCCTCAATTAATGATTTCTCAAATAATGTATTCATTTTTTATAACAAATGTGTGTTTTGTCTGCCATTGAATCGATAATCGATTGAATGAAACGTCGCTTTGGTTTTGGCGTTTGAAACCCAATTCATTAACCATTGATTCGGTGAAGCAATCGATTAAACCATTGTATAATACAATGGTTTAATCGATTGCTTCACCGAATCAATGGTTAATGAATTGGGTTTCAAACGCCAAAACCAAAGCGACGTTTCATTCAATCGATTATCGATTCAATGGCAGACAAAACACACATTTGTTTGAGAAAATGAAGACATTATTTGAGAAATCATTAATTGAGGGCTCAATGCATGTAATAATCGTTAAACTCATGTCAAAAAGACAACTCAAATGAATGGAGGAGTGAAAGGAAGTGAGAATTTCGCTGCGAAACGAGTCATACAAATGGTTTACTAGTGTTTTGGACAATGAGATGAGTAGTCATTATAATGGGAACGTTAGCTCACATTTGGTGGCAAATGGTGTGTCGTGTGATGGCATCCAGTGGTGGTGCCAGTGGTGGGCCTGTCCTGTCGACTGTCCGCACCACTCATCCACGCGAATGGCAATCAGTTGATCGCAAACACAGTCCACTCGTCGATAGTGTTGTGTTTTTTAGTGACAAATAGTGTGTCTATAATGAGGTGAACGAACTGAACGCCAAATAGTAACACATTATGGCATGAATAGCGTGAGTCTATCATCAACTGTATGTTGTATTGGAAAATGTCTTCCCATTTGAGTCAATGCTATACGACTGCTATCGCATAGCATTGGTATTGCCTTACATTGAGTGCAGTGTTGAGTGTTTTGTTTGCCAATGCATTGCATTCTCAACGCTATTATAGGGCCCACAGACAGACCCATACATACAGTGTATGACATACACTCGCCTTTCACAGACACTAACTGAGCGCTCTTTTGGGGGGTTAGCCCTCCGCTCCACTAATACTCCCCCGCAATACCCCATGAAAGGTGCACATCTAATATGGGTTCGGGGAGGGGAGGGGTTATCAAATTAGCTCATCAATGTTCACACTATTTACACATCAAGTTACAGTACTATAAGGTATAATATATACCTCTGTATTTCAAATAGACTGGCTAATTTTTAATTGAATTTAATTAAACTTAAATGCGGTATAACTGCAGGTACTGTACTTATAGGTACATTAATAAAAATAAATTATCAAATAATCGAAATAAATGAAAAATAATAACTCAAATTTCAATTCAAAATTTCGTTTAATAGAAAAAAAAGATAATTAATATTAAAATCGATTAATTAATGAGAGAAGACATCAGAGAAGACACAAATCATTAGCTTTTCGATAGGTTTTAATTGTTGAAAAAAATCAAATATCAATCGTTTTTGCTTTTTTTGTTCAAAATAATAACATTTAATTTGTTTTTAATAATCAAAGGCTAACAAAAGCTGATGTAATGCTTTTGACAGAAAAAGTTTTGAAAATCTAANCTAACAAAAGCTGATGTAATGCTTTTGACAGAAAAAGTTTTGAAAATCTAATTATAATAAGTCTTGAGTTATAGTTATTTCTTCTTCTGAGCCTTTTCTGCGGCTTTAGTCACTTTCCCGCCGCTCAGGTCCTTAGCCTTCACGCCTTTGATGACACCGACGGCCACTGTTTGCCTCATGTCTCGCACAGCGAACCGACCCAATGGTGGGAAGTCAGTGAACGTCTCGACGCACATCGGCTTCGAGGGCACCAATTCAATGATAGCCGCGTCGCCAGACTTAATGGACTTCGGGTTATCTGTGGAGCAAATGAAAGGTGAGTACAGTTGTGGGCAAACAGACCATCAGTTGATACAAACCCTCAATCTTTTTGCCACTTCGTCGGTCGCACTTCTCCTTAATCTCGCGGAACTTGCAGGCGATGTGAGCGGTGTGGCAGTCGAGCACAGGTGTGTATCCGTTGCTGATCTGTCCCGGATGGTTCAACACTATCACCTGAGCAGTGAACTCCTCGGTGGCCTTCGGCGGGTTGTCCTTCGAGTCTCCGGCGACGTAACCTCTCCTCAACTCCTTGACCGACACGTTCTTAACATTAAAGCCCACGTTATCTCCGGGCACCGCCTCTACGAGGGCCTCGTGATGCATCTCAACCGACTTGACCTCAGTGGTCAACATGACGGGGGCAAAGGTCACGACCATTCCCGGCTTAATCACTCCGGTCTCCACACGACCCACGGGTACGGTTCCGATACCTGAGGGGCGGACAGAGAGAGACCGTTAGGTTGAGCTGAGGAGCAATGGTTTGGCGAACATTACCTCCAATTTTGTAGACGTCCTGAAGGGGGAGTCGCAGGGCTTTGTCCATAGGTCTGGACGGAGGCTCCATAGCGTCCAAAGCAGCCAACAGTGTCTTGCCGTCCAGTTTGGAGCCCTTCCTCTCGATGTTCCATCCCTTAAACCACGGCATGTTAGCCGACGCCTCCAACATGTTGTCCCCATTCCAGCCCGAGATCGGCACAAATGGAACGGTCGCCGGATTGTAGCCAATCTTCTTGACATACGCCGACACCTCCTTCTGGATCTCCTCGAAGCGGCTCTGACTGAACGGCGGTTCCGTTGTGTCCATCTTATTGACGCCGACTATCAGTTGCTTCACACCGAAACAAATGTGTGTTTTGTCTGCCATTGAATCGATAATCGATTGAATGAAACGTCGCTTTGGTTTTGGCGTTTGAAACCCAATTCATTAACCATTGATTCGGTGAAGCAATCGATTAAACCATTGTATGCATGGTTTGTATGGTTTTGCATGTGGTTTACGGTATCCAACAGTGGTTGGTGTGCCCTCTGAGCCACCAATCCATTGCTGGTCTAATCCACGCCCCACTTAGCCATCAACTGATGGTTTGTCTGAACCAATGGTTTGGTTTCAATCGATTTAGACATGGGTTTAGTGTTAGACTTGATTTCATTTAACGATTATTTTCACCCAAATCTCGCCGTTCACTCATTGCCTCTCATTTACCAATCAATTGGTCACCAAATCTGTCAAATGGTTTAGTCCATGATTTGGTCCACTATTGTGACCATAGTTTCTCCACTATTATCTCATTTCAAGCCATAAGTCAATATTTAATTTGGTTTTCATGTGATTTGATAACCAAATGAATCGCTTATCGATGAAAAGTTTTCACTAAACACTCGTTTCTATCGCAGTATAGGTTTAGTTACCATTTGACACACATTTGAGTTGTTTTTTGTCAATTAATTTCTATATTTTTATTCATTTTGTTAAATGTTTTTATTTTTTGTCACTATTTATATACAAATTGTGTCAAAAAGTGTCACTAATTGTATACTCTATCGCTTCAGAAACAACTCATTTATTGATTGATTTTGGGTCCAAAAGTCGGTCCAAACATGAGTCAAACGAATGTGATTATCACCAGTGGTTCTAAGAACCAGATAATTCACGTGCCGGTCGTGACGTCCACCACGCGATCGGCCACTCCTATAGAGATCGTGACGTCTTCATCGGGAACAGTGACCATCAATCGCACCACTAATCAGACGTTTACTGTTAACCACAACAACAGCGGAACCGTTTACTCGCCGGCAAAGAGCGTCAACCGACCACTTCAGACGCTCTCTTCGGTCACCAGAAATGTGTCGAACAATAGGGAGATATTCGGCGCCAACGATGGTATGAATGAATTGCTTCTCTGGATGTGTTTGAGTGATAATTGACTGAATGTTTGGTACGTTTGATAGACACGGAAGTGAAGACTCTTTATGTGAACAAAGAGACGAATAACTCGAGGGAACAGCTCTTACTTCCGACCGAAACGTATATAAAACAGGAAGAGTTGGACGACGAGGAGTACGAAGAATACGAGAGTATGGATGAGGACGACTTGGAGGGCATCGCCAGCTCCAAGACTCAGTACAAGTGCTCGGGTTGTGGCAAAGGCTTCTGCTATACGGGTTGGCTCGACAGGCATAAGCTCTCGAGTCCCGGCTGTCGAGACGCACATCCCATCCACGAGACATACACTGAGCCCACGGTCTACACGCCATCCATAGACCTGAACAGCAGTGGCGTCGGCGGTCCCGACAGAGCGCGTCCGAGCCTCGAGGGTCGCCTCCAGGAGCTGCTGCTCTGTCCCAACAAGAACTGCAACTTCAAGACCCATTGGATCCAATCGCTGAACAAACATGTGTTCAGTTCGTGTAAATTCGGCAAAAACGGCGCCGAAGACAACGCCTCTGCGAACAACGGCTCGTCCAAGAAGTCGGGGCCACAGCAGCCCTCCAAACAGGTCTGCCATCTCTGTCACAAGCAGTTCGCGGACACCGAACAGCACATCCAACACATGAAAGTCGCGCATCAGATAAAGCTGTTCTTCCAGTGCTCCGAATGTAAGATTAATTTCGACAACAAATACGAGTCGGAGGCACACATCGAAGAGCACAACCGAATGGGGAAGTATTCGGCGAAAGAGAAGTTGGTGTCGGCGCCCATCACCGCCTCCACCAATGGAGTGAACAACGGTTCCCAACAGTACTGGAAGTGCGAGCTCTGCAACAAAAGCTATCTATCGGTGCGCGCCTTCGAGATCCACCGGACGTCCTGCGAGAAGGAGATGCAGTCGTCGACCAGAGGGCCGACGCCTTCGCCGCAGAGTTCGCCACAACGACCGCAACCGAGAGCTCCGGCGGCGGCGACGTATGGCTCGCGTGCTGCGGGCGAGGGTTCTGTCAAACACTTCAAACGAGAACAGATCGAAGCGATTCACGGAAACGACTTTCGGTGTCGTTATTGTCGTAAGGCTTTCGGCAACTCTTACGGGTTATGCAATCACTTGAGTCGCCGTCCCTTTTGTCGCGAATGGTATTATAAGGCGATTCCCGTCGAACTCAAGAAAACTAATTCCCTGCACCTCATGAAGAACACCAAAAGACAGCGCTTCTCAATGGACGCCATTCCTCGACAGTCGAGTCCGTCGAAGAGCGTTGTGTCGCACTTCGAGAACGCCTCGAAAATCGTGTTCAGTCGCCAGCAGCGGAAGGGGTCGCTGAGTGGGCGCCGGGGGTTCAACGCTAATTCACTGCCGCCCTGGACTAACAGCGCTCGTTGTGATCGGTGTCGGAAAGTGTTTGTCGGCAAAAACCCAACCGTCGCCCTAACCAACCACTTGCGGGGCTCGACGTGTGTGCCCACCAAATACAACCCCTTCGCGAAGCCACAGGTGGTTCGCTCGCGAACTATGACCGCTCGCGCCGCCAGACCTCCCGTCCCTCGCTTTGCCGCCAACAACAGCACGACGACCGCCACAACCAATCGGTCGACTCCTTCACCCCAGAGCCGAATGGCCGCCGAAAACAGGTATTACTGTAAACTGTGTCCACGCGTTGAGCTCAAGAATCGGGTGTCGTTGGGCTGTCACCTGACGATATACCACGGCTTACCCCAAGTGAATGTCGCCACCGGAACGGGAGACGGCTATCGGTGCCAAAACTGTTCCAAAGTATTTGAGTCGAAGTACTTCTATAACCTCCACCGCCAGGACTGCGACCTCACGTCCGCATACGTGGGCATCGTTTCAGG